AATTTTAAAAATTAATTACTTGGAATATGTTTTATACATGTGTATATATATCATATCATATTATGTTCATTACAATGTGAATGTAAAGTATATTGATAACGAATAGATAATAGTAATGATTTTTGGTCTCTATTTCTTTGTAGAAAGATTGAAAATAGTGATTACTTCGAATATGTTTTATAATATGTATATATATACTTGTAGATATAGCTTTTTATTAGTGACGTAGACTGGCCTAGATGTCGCACGCCATTTATACATATATATAACTACTCAACGAATGGGCGAGGTCGTACACTTTGAGAAAACGTGGATTATTGTTTCGATACATGTGTCCTACTGATATTCTTACACTGATATAATAATGCACCAAGCTCATGTTCACATGTTTTCTTCAATTCAAGTTAATCGATAACTATCGATCCCCTTCTATTTCATTAACGTATTTTCCCATATAATATGTTTTCCCCATAAATGCATCCTCCCAATCAGAAATTGTTTATCGATTAAACCAAAGTAGAAGACACGATTTATTTCTTACAAAAAAGAAAAAGAAACAAAACCAATCGAATACACATGTTCGTTCAACTTTATATACACGTCGTTTGTTTTTTTCTTTTCTTTTTGAAATAATAACGGGAATAATAATTCTTTGATATTTCATTATACTTTTGCATCTGATAGTTTGTTGGATGTGTGTGTGTGTGTTTGGTTGTTTTGTTTTCTTTTTTTTATCTATCAGTTATCGATCAGTGACCTTTAATACTTTAGATATCTTCATTTTTAACGTATACGTTGAAACTATACTGCCAACCCTTCGTAATACCTTATTTCCGATATCCCACAATTTTTTTTTGAAGCAATAAAACAAGAGAGAGAGTGGCTCAAGATAACAAAGTGGCCACACATTTTTTCTTTTTCTATTTTCTTTTTTCTTTTTTCTTTTTTTCTTTATATCAAGCTAACTTTTAGTTCACTGATATCGGATTTTGACGCGATCTTTCCCCCGATATTTCATCGTACCTATATAAAGCGTCAAAGCTACCCGATTCTATCAGCTTTTTTATTTATTTTTATGAAAAAAAAAAGAAAGTATCACCAGGAGAGCAAGAGTTAGATTGAGATGATATTTCAAAGCTAGCCCTCTTTCTTTTTGGGGGAATTTATTCGCATAACAATATATAACACAACAGTATTGTTTTGTTTTTCGAACGAAATTGAATAAACTTTGTTTAGGATAAAGAAGGAAAAGAAAAAAAATACAGCTGAGTTTATATAGACGATCAAAATATTTTACATACGAGTTTGTTAAACAATCATCAATCAAATCTTACTTTGTTCAGTTTAATACTATAATTAGATAATTATTATAACGAGGGTGTTTTCTTTAAAGGGGAACAGATGTTTATCGAATTCCGAGGTTAAAATGCAGTCGAGTTAAACGAAGGAAGAATGAATTAGCATTGCATACACGTAGGGTGAAAGACGAAGGGTGAAATAGTACCTACCTAAGGACACCGATGTTGGGGGCTTTCGGGTTGATGTGACGTCAACTAGGAAAAGGTGTACGATATGGGAAACTAGGGCAGTGCGAGTGACGGGCACGTCGTTGAAATTATTTTGAACAACATCCCGAACGTATATTTCAGATTAGTTTACCGTAAATTAGGTATAATTCATTAGCGAATAGGATTAATTATATTATAATTGGTTATAGTTGATATGTATTTCATAGTTTGGTAATTTCAAGATAATTATCCTTTAGGGAAAATATTAATTATCAAATTAATTCTACTTCAATTGTGTGTGTTGAATTTGAACCCTAGAACTACAAACTTATTTTTGTAACCTTCAAACTACAAAACTGGGGTATACATTTACCCCAAGGGTTTTTTAATCCTAAAAACTGTTCTGATAGAAGTAATCAAACTTGTAAGTATTGTATTTGAAGTATTATTGTAAATAATCATTTATTTAATAATGTAGATGAGTTTGAATCGATTCAACGAATACAAATATTTATTTATATATATTCACGAATTGTAAATATAGAACAAAAATTGATTTGTCCAAAATAATAATTTATTTAAAAGCGTGGGTAAATTTGTATCGATCGACAACGCGTACGATTATTTATTTATACATTCACGAATACATATATATATATTTATTGTAAATATAAAATAATAGTTTAAGAGAGTGTAGTAAGTGTTGGATCGATGTAGTTGCCAAACAAACACGTGTATGAATGACAAAAATAGATTGTAACACGTTTGGGGTGTTTTAGGGACAGGTTCATTAGACTTAATGATTCAACTTAGTTGACAAATCTATTGTCACATCTGAATCGTTCATTAATAATATTAATTCATTGTCAGTGTTAAATACCATTGTTAGTAATTTGTTACAAACGAATTAATCAACATTTTAATTCAGTCTACCTATCCCCAACAATATATTTCTATCTTTCTCAATTAGGATAACCCAAAAATTGAGTCCAACGATTTCCATGTTATCTTCATTACTTCCAAATGAAATTGATCACTCCCCCTTATTCCTGTCGGATGGGTCAGCGTGTTTTTTTATTCCTCGACCCAGTTTCCAATTAAAAAGGGAACAACATAAAAAAAAACGTGCTTTAGGTGTAGGACACTCTGTGATTGAAAATAACTATCTTTACAAGGTATATATCAACATGTGAAAGCATATCTTTTGATCGTACATAACAAACAAGCGTGCTTTATACAAATTTTAAACGTGATTCTCTTAAAAGTGAAATTTTCTGAGCTTTTCTCTCATTTATTTTTACATGATACGCTGTATATTCCTTCTATTTTATATTATGTATTATAATATTAAGTTATTTTTAATCAAACAATCGTTTTAAAAAATAAAAACCATGTATCCTAATATAGAATGTTATTTTAACCAATTGGATAGTGTATGTGTGTGTGGATAAAATATAATAATATATATATGTGTGTATAATAATAAAGTATATTATATAAATATATA